CCTAATGTCGGGGGTTTAAGTGGAGAGAAAATGTTTTGAGAATGATGTACAAATGCGCTTTACACAATGGATTGCGATAGCAGTTGTATGAGCCCCTAATAAAATGTTTTTTTTAAAAAGTCATTCACACTGTACTATAGTCTTAAGAGCAAGCAATGGCATGAAAAGGTTTGGAACTATTGTGAGAAATACCAAATGTGACAGACACGAACTGAGCACGTGCTGTTGGAAAAGGGGTGCCGATCGACTTGCCCCTAAACCATCTGAAGTCCAGGAAAGTGAAACCCAGTCAAACAGGGTCTTCCTGGGTTTGGAACACCAACAAGGACGAAAAGGGGGGTACCCGCGGAAGTTGCATATGTCCAGCCGAACACTTAGGGAGATTTGGCTCTGGTTTAGGGTCATAGTTTATGGGGTGTTCCATTGATGGCCGGATGAAACGTTCAGTGCTTCTGCTCTACCTTAGATGGACTGCGTGGTGCCTGGGGACTTAAAAGCTTGTCAGCGGCCACAAAAGGTCCCGTAGCTTCACTTCTGGTTGCCTGGGGCAATAGGAGAGTCAGGACTAGGTCGTGGAAATTGGCTAATTGCCTCCTTTTGCCATAAGACCAGAAGAACTGGATGGTGCCCAGTTTGATCAAAGTTTCCATTGAATTCCAGTCAAAGTGTTTGTGGGGGGTGTGTGTGGAATGCACAGTAAACTTTCCAGTTTTCATGGAATACAGATTTTCAGGAATCACCGATCAAGGGCAGACCTTTGAAACTATTGCTTGGAGATAATATTTAAACCAAAATTAACCGTCGAGTTCATCTTAAAACTGAACAATCGTTCAGATTAACTAGCAAAAGAGCAGTAAGTTCTGTGGAGAACTGTTCATGTCGATTAAATTGAGAAAGCAACGGAAAGGATTAGCGAATAACTTTAGGGCCGGGGAGTTTATGTTGAGGAGGAGGGTGAGAAGGTGTCGCCATACTGACCAGGTAGAAACTGCCGAGTCCTGTATGTATTGATTTGAACCGGGGTATGTGTTTTCAGCAACCACGAAGTAAATAAAATTTAGAAAACACAAAAGGTACATTTTTCCCCACAGCAATTCAGCTGTAATTCATCATTTTCTTGTATCACTGTTTAAAAGTTTTCCATCCGTGATGTCCATCCAAAACTGATTCCGATCAGGTCTGCAGTCGTCCAACAACACAAAGGGGATTCCAAATGTTTGTGGGAAAAATTTGCTATCTTTCTGTTGTTTTCATTATAAATTAGCCCGCGCGCCACAAAAGTGCTAAAGCCGGTTTCAGGGTTACTTCTCCTTTTCTGACCACTCAGACCAGTGAGCTGACCGGGAAGGAAACTGGGGGGTCTTCAAGGCTGTGCCCCTTCTCCCTTTTATGTGTGCGGTGGAATACATGCAAAGAACGACGTCCCACGTGCAGTGGCACGGGCATCTCGCCAGAACCGTGGCAGGATCCCGGGAAACACTCCACGCACGTGGCTCTTCCAGTTCTCTGACCCTGCTTCCTTCCTTCTCTTCCTTCTGCCCCCCCCCCGCGCTGTGTCATAGCCCTCAAAGTCTTTTCCTTTGGTGCGAAAATAATTTTTCTTGTGTGCCCCCCACTCTTCTAAGCCCCTCTTATAGGCCTGGAGGCATGAGATACTTGTCTCGAAGAGTTTGACAACTTTACTGAGCATAATGTCGTCCAGTACTGCCCATGTCATGAGGTGTTGGACGGCCTGCCTCATCATCGTTTCTTCCAGACGCATAGGATTCCATTGTGTATCTGGACCCGAGTTTTATCTGCCCATGCCTCCACAGACAAAGTATTTGGCTGTTTACATCTTTTGGCTCTTAATGGTTGTGATAAATAAACATGGGTGTGCATAAACATCTGTTCATCTTTATTTTGGGGGTACACACGGAGTAGAGAGATCGCAGAGTTATATCCAATGTGTATTTACACTTGATTAAGAATGTGCCACACTTTTCCATTCCATTATGGTTATTCCATT